ATGTCTTGTTTATCTGTCTTATTATACATTATCTTGTTTATCTGTCTTAATATGTCTTGTTTATCTGTATATATATAATATATATATATATAATATCTTGTTTATCTGTCTATTATAATATTCTTGTTTATCTGTCTTATATATAGTCTTTGTTTATCTGTCTATATATATGTATATCTTGTTTATCTGTCTTATATATTCTTGTTTATCTGTCATATATATGTCTTGTTTATCTGTCTTATATATGTCTTCTTTATTTGTCTTATATATATCTTGTTTATCTGTCATATATATGTCTTGTTTATTCTGTCTTATATATATCTTGTTTATCTGTCATATATATGTCTTGTTTATCTGTCTTATATATGTCTTCTTTATTTGTCTTATATATATCTTGTTTATCTGTCTTATTATATATATATAATATATATATAAAAGTTTATAGAAGATTTCAAAAATGTTCTTTCAAAGAAAACAAAATTAACTTAGACTTGAATTTCTTGAATGTATGTCTCAAAAATAAATTGATACCAAAATTTTTAAGATTTAAACTATGGAAACATGATAAGGATAACAAAAAGGCATATCATGATTTTCAGAAAAAACTTTTGGAAATTGAAATCAAGAAGAAAACCCGAGAGCTAAATTATATGAATAAGAAAGTTAAAGAATTGGAATTGGAATTAAAAAATATTATTTCATGGCTTGATTTCAGTTATCTAAAAGTTCATTCTGAATCCATTAATGTGAATACTTTAAAGAGAGTTAAATTTGTACATGAGCGTAAACTATTCCATTTAGGATATGATAACTTTAACAAGTCCCTGGATGTTGATAAAGTTGTTTTCAATTTTTCTAGTGTAAACTTGTCTGTAAAACTTAAACAATTATTAGCAAATGGCCTAAAATTTGGCATCCCACCATCAAAATTGAATTTTGCTCATTTTTTTCTATCTTTTGAAAAATTACTTAGGTCACTTTACACTCACAAACCAACAAATAAATTTCCAAATGTCAATAATCACATTAAATCATGTATTAAGAATTTGGCCTTTTCACTTTTTATACTTATAAAAAGGAAATTACTCAAGATGGGTTATCAACTAATGACTTCAAAACCCTTAAAGACTTGTCTAAGAACCCTGATGTAATTATTACCAAACCAGACAAAGGTCAAGGTGTTGTTTTAATGAATAGATCAGATTATGTTAAAAAAGTTGATGACATTCTTAAAGATAAAACAAAATTCTCCCAAATTCCTGACAAACCTGAATCACTTATTATCAAAAATGAGGATAAGCTTAATTCTTTTCTAAGGAAATTAAAAAAAGAAGAGGTTATTAATGAGTCTACTTACTCTTCCCTCTTTACTTCTGGCTCAAGACCTGGAATTTTATATGGTTTACCCAAAATTCATAAAGCAAACTTACCCGTCAGACCCATCCTTTCAGCATTGGGAACCATTAATTATAATGTTTCAAAATTTTTCATTCCCATTCTAAGACGTCTCACTCTGAATCAATATACCATACAGAACACCTTCACCTTTGTTCAAAAATTAATTGAGATCCCACATGCAAATGATTATGTCCTAGCTAGTTTTGACGTCACTAATTTGTTCACTAATGTCCCTCTAGACGAAACCATAGACATCATTATGAACTCTTTGTTTGAAAAATCTGATAAAGTTTTGGGATTTAATAGAATGTATTTTAAAAAACTTTTGGATATTGCCACAAAGGATATAATGTTTTGGTTTAATGGAACTTTGTACAAACAAATTGAAGGGGTTGCAATGGGAAGCCCTTTAGGACCTACTTTAGCAAACATTTTCATGTGTTATAATGAAAGTAAATGGCTTAAAAATTGCCCTATAGAATTTAAACCCAAACATTATTTCAGATATGTTGATGATACTTTATTGTTATTCAAATCCGAAGATGAAGTTAACAAATTCTTGGAATACCTTAATAATCAACATCCTAACATTAAATTCACTTGTGAAATTGAACAGAATGGACACCTTCCCTTTTTGGATATTGATATTTCTAGGGATATGAATTCTTTTGTCTCCTCAGTCTATAGAAAACCAACTTACACGGGTCTAACAACTAAATTTAATTCTTATATACCTATCAAATATAAGGGGAATTTAATTTCTACGCTGATTTTCAGAGCATTCAAAATTTCCAAGGATTATTTTATCTTCATTAAGGAAATTGACTTTATCACAAATATTCTAAGATTGAACATGTTCCCAATTAATTTTATTGAAAAGAACATAAGGACAACTCTCAATAGACTTTTGGTCCCTGTAGAACCCACATTGACTGTCTCTAAGGATGTAATTTATATGAAACTACCTTATCTTGGAACTATTAGCCACTGTCTAGAAAGAAAATTATCAAATCTAATTAAAACTCACTACTCAACTGTTACTCTTAAAGTAGTATATACAACCTCCCTCTCATTAGGTAACTTATTTAAATTTAAAGATAAAGTACCGAAACCTTTACGCTCTTCAATAGTATATAAATTCACGTGTAGTAGCTGCGATGCTACTTATATTGGGAAGACTTCCCGTAACCTCTTCATGAGAATTGAAGAACATAAAGGTTTCTCATTTAGGAATACTAATTACAAGCTAACTAGACCAAATAAATCTTCAATTAGAAGCCACTGTGAAGCAAAAAACCATTCTTTCTCATCAGAGAATTTTGAAATCCTAGACTCCTCCCCTTTTGACTTTGATCTAATCATTTTAGAAAGTCTATGGATTTGGAAAGAAAAACCAAATTTAAATGAATATTCATCTTCAATAGACATTGAACTTCTTAAATAATAACTCTGTTTTTGGAGAATTTATATTCTCTTTAGTCTCACATTTTCACATGTGGATTTTCTTTCTCCTGATAGTCTCAAGTTTGGTAGACAACCGCGCCATTTCATAGCGTCCCTTGGTGGCTTACAGTACACGTCACCTGCTGCACAGCCCTTATTTCCATGGATTTTTGTAAATTTTAGGTTAGTAACCATAATCATAACCTTGTTAATTGATTCTTTTAACTTTGATTCTCATAAATTGTAAAGATTAACCTAAGAAAAGTGTTGATTAAAATTTTATAGCCCAAAATAGTATGCCGGCTTTCCCGCTTACCTCGGATTCCTTTGTTCAAAGTTTTCTGTCTCATGTTCTTTTGAATCTAGCATTGTCACAATGTATTTGATTCTGTATCTTAATTTATCACATACTTTGTCTTTGATATTATGAATTTATTGCATTTCCTCAATTTAGAGAATATTATAATTTTTCCTTGAATATAACTCAGTTTTATTTTCAATTGATAAGATTCATACTAGTCAATTTGTTACTGATTGTGTCCTATGGATATTGTACAAATCTGATACTTATTGTATTTCATCTTTGTTGCCTAGATGATTGTTCTTACCTTACATAGGTTAAACTATGGTTTACACCAACACTAGTCATTAATGCCTTTGAATTCCATATGTACATCTAATGTAATTGTATATACTTTGATACTGTTTGTAATTGTTAAATCTTATATGTTGTTCACTTACAGTTCGCCATTGATAATGGGTGGAAGTACGCCCGAAACGTTTGGCTTTATACATTAAAGAAGAATAAGAAGCACGACATTTTTGTTAAGTCCTTTCCTACATGATGATCTTGGTCACGACGCTAGTCCTGAAATTTCTATTATATATATCTGTCATATATATATATATATATATATATTATATATATATATTATAATATGTGTATATCTTGTTTGTCTGTCTTATATAATATCTTGTTTGTCTGTCTTATATATATCTTGTTTATCTGTCTTATATATATCTTGTTTATCTGTCTTATATATATCTTGTTTATCTGTCTTATATATATATCTTGTTTATCTGTCTTATATTTTGTTTATCTGTCTTATATATATCTTGTTTATCTGTCTTATATATATCTTGTTTATCTGTCTTATATATATATATATATATATATATATATATATATATATATATGTCTTGTTTATCTGTCTTATATATATGTGTCTTGTTTATCTGTCTTATATATATGTGTCTTGTTTATCTGTCTTATATATATGTGTCTTGTTTATCTGTCTTATATATATCTTGTTTATCTGTCTTATATACATCTTGTTTATCTGTCTTATATACATCTTGTTTATCTGTCTTATATATATCTTGTTTATCTGTCTTATATATATCTTGTTTATCTGTCATATATATCTTGTTTATCTGTCTTATATACATCTTGTTTATCTGTCATATATATCTTGTTTATCTGTCTTATATACATCTTGTTTATCTGTCTAATATACATCTTGGTTATCTGTCTTATATGCATCTTGTTTATCTGTCTTATATATATGTGTCTTGTTTATCTGTCTTATATATATGTGTCTTGTTTATCTGTCTTATATATATCTTGTTTATCTGTCTTATATACATCTTGTTTATCTGTCTTATATATATCTTGTTTATCTGTCTAATATATATCTTGTTTATCTGTCTTATATACATCTTGTTTATCTGTCTTATATATATCTTGTTTATCTGTCTAATATACATCTTGGTTATCTGTCTTATATATATCTTGTTTATCTGTCTTATATATATGTCTTGTTTATCTGTCTTATATTTATATTCATATCTTGTTTATCTGTCTTATATATATCTTGTTTATCTGTCTTATATGCATCTTGTTTATCTGTCTTATATATATCTTGTTTATCTGTCTAATATATATCTTGTTTATCTGTCTTATATTTATATTCATATCTTGTTTATCTGTCTTATATATCTTGTTTATCTGTCTAATATATATCTTGTTTATCTGTCTTATATACATCTTGGTTATCTGTCTTATATGCATCTTGTTTATCTGTCTTATATATATCTTGTTTATCTGTCTAATATATATCTTGTTTATCTGTCTTATATATATCTTGTTTATCTGTCTTATATATATCTTGTTTATCTGTCTAATATATATCTTGTTTATCTGTCTTATATACATCTTGTTTATCTGTCTTATATACATCTTGTTTATCTGTCTAATATATATCTTGTTTATCTGTCTTATATATATATCTGTTATCTGTCTTATATATATCTTGTTTATCTGTCTTATATTTATATTTATGTCTTGTTTATCTGTCTTATATATATCTTGTTTATCTGTCTTATATATATCTTGTTTATCTGTCTTATATTTATATTTATGTCTTGTTTATCTGTCTTATATACATCTTGTTTATCTGTCTTATATATATCTTGTTTATCTGTCATATATATATATATATATTGTTTATCTGTCATATATATATCTTGTTTATCTGTCTTATATATATATATATATATATATATATATATATATATATATATATATATCTTGTTTATCTGTCTTATATACATCTTGTTTATCTGTCTTATATAGATCTTGTTTATCTGTCTTATACATATCTTGTTTATCTGTCTAATATACATCTTGGTTATATGTCTTATATATATCTTGGTTATCTGTCTTATATATATGTCTTGTTTATCTGTCTTATATGCATCTTGTTTATCTGTCTTATATATCTTGTTTATCTGTCTTATATATATATATATATATATATTATATATATATATCTTGTTTATCTGTCTTATATACATCTTGTTTATCTGTCTTGGATACATCTTGTTTATCTGTCTTATATATGTCTTGTTTATCTGTCTAATATATATCTTGTTTATCTGTCTTATATATATCTTGTTTATCTGTCTATATATTTGTTTATCTGTCTTATACATCTTGTTTATCTGTCTAATACATCTTGTTTATCTTTCTTATATATATCTTGTTTATCTGTCTTATACATCTTGTTTATCTGTCTTATATACATCTTGTTTATCTGTCTTATATATATCTTGTTTATCTGTCTTATATATATCTTTATCTGTCTAATATATATCTTGTTTATCTGTCATATATATATCTTGTTTATCTGTCTTATATATATGTCTTGTTTATCTGTCTTATATATATCTTGTTTATCTGTCTTATATGCATATTGTTTATCTGTCTTTTATATATATATATGTATATATATATATATACATCTTGTTTTATCTGTCTTATATATATCTTGTTTATCTGTCTTATATATATCTTGTTTATCTGTCTTATATATATCTTGTTTATCTGTCTTATATATATCTTGTTTATCTGTCTTATATATATCTTGTTTATCTGTCTTATATATATCTTGTTTATCTGTCTAATATATATCTTGTTTATCTGTCTTATATATATCTTGTTTATCTGTCTAATGTATATCTTGCTTATCTGTCTAATGTATATCTTGCTTATCTGTCTTATATACATCTCGTATATCTGTCTTATATCTATCTTATATATCTGTCTTATATACATCTCGTTTATCTGTCTTATATCTATCTCGTATATCTGTCTTATATCTATCTTGTATATCTGTCTTATATATATCTTGTATATCTGTCTTATATATATCTTGTATATCTATCTGATATATATCTTGTATATCTGTCTTATATATCTGTCTTGTATATCTGTCTTATATACATCTCGTATATCTGTCTTATATCTGTCTTAAATATATCTTGTATATCTATCTGATATATATCTTGTATATCTGTCTTATATCTATCTTGTATATCTGTCTTAAATATATCTTGTATATCTATCTGATATATATCTTGTATATCTGTCTTATATCTATCTTGTATATCTGTCTTAAATATATCTTGTATATCTATCTGATATATATCTTGTATATCTGTCTTATATCTATCTTGTATATCTGTCTTAAATATATCTTGTATATCTATCTGATATATATCTTGTATATCTGTCTTATATCTATCTTGTATATCTGTCTTAAATATATCTTGTATATCTATCTGATATATATCTTGTATATCTGTCTTATATCTATCTTGTATATCTGTCTTAAATATATCTTGTATATCTATCTGATATTATCTTGTATATCTGTCTTATATATATCTTGTATATCTGTCTTAAATATATCTTGTATATCTATCTGATATATATCTTGTATATCTGTCTTATATACATCTCGTATATCTGTCTTACATGATTAGTACATTTATCTCGCATGTCTATCCTATATAGCTTGTATATCTATCTTACATATCTTGTTTAGCTATCTTATATATATTTTGTTTTTCTATCTTATATACATTTTGTTTATCTATCTTGCATATCTCGTAAATATATCTTGTATATCTTCTATATATGTATGTTATATACTGGTTATGTATATATGTATGTTATATACTGGTTATGTATATATGTATGTTATATACTGGTTATGTATATATGTATGTTATATACTGGTTATGTATATATGTATGTTATATACTGGTTATGTATATATGTATGTTATATACTGGTTATGTATATATGTATGTTATATACTGGTTATGTATATATGTATATATACGCTACGTTTTTGACCCAAATCAGCCCCGAAAGCATTTAAATGGCGGTTTTACGAGATTATGCATCACTGTCCGGGACAAAGCGGCGGTAAATCTCCCTTTTTTCCGAATCTGACACTTGTCCTTCGGCCGCCACGGGGAGCCCGCCTCTAACCCTTTGTCTCTCGCTCTCGACTTTTCTTTTTTCCTTCTTTTGACCCCTTTTTGACCCCCTTTTCTCTGTCCTGCGTGGCTTCAAGGGGCGCCGTTTCTCACTCCGTCTGTGGCATGTTCGGGAGGGCGGGAGAGGAGGACATACACACCTTGCGCAATTATTCATGGTAGTATGTCCTGGTGGGTGCCTGTAGGTGGGCGTGGGCGTGTTGACCACATACCTAGGGACACAAAGATTAGGGGCGGGGAGGGTGGGTGGGAGAGGGGAGGGGAGGGAGGGGGTGAGCCACGACGGGGAGATAAAAGGACAAAGCATTTTAGATGAAGGATACCATGAAGGATAGGATGAGGATGATATAGCGTGATATTTCTTTGGGCGATTCTGACGGCCTTTCCTTGGCCATGCGTTGCCTTTAAGGGATTTGGTTTTATCAGCTGTCACCTCTTTCGAGAGAGATTGAATACCGCACTTATCCCTTGGAAATGGAACACTACAACCACGCTGTATAATTCATTCTCTTATCTAACCTATATATATATTTTAGAGAATCTAGACCACCCTAAGCCTGATATCCGGCACTGACCATCCAAAATACAGGAAGAAAAAAGCTTCCTTATCGAGCCTAAATCGCCACTCATCGCGCGGAAAACTGAATCCGCTCTAGACAGAACTCCCGCCAAAAAAGTAGGTTAAGCGAGGGCGTCGACAGGCAGCGTCCATACGAGGCGATTAGGATGTGAGATAATTGCCTACCTCAGAAGGCCCTTTGGAGATAATCTGCGTCTCATCTGAGCCTGATTAAGGGAGATTGAAAGGAAAGGAAGCTATCGGAGAGGGAGGAGAGGGAGGGAGGGGGGGGGGTGATGGCGCTAATAAGGGAGGCGGGAGAGTATGGAATGCAGTCCGGTTATTGTGAATTATTGGGTTTATCCGTTTCATTTCTGTTTTAATCCTATACGTTTC